GCTGTACCGCTGAGCTAAATCCCCAGCCCTTGGTCAACTTTAATAGTTCTTTGTTTTTTTCTAGTTGATCTGTCTCTTTGTGAAAGTGAGTTATTGAATTTCCCTCTATGGTTGTGTTGATGTTTATGTCCACTAGTGTTTGTTTTATATGAAGTTGGATGTGCAGGTATTCAGTGCGTACGTATTTACAGTTGTTATCTGTCCCCCTTGAACTATTCCCTTAACCAGTATATAGTGATGTTCCTTGCCCCTTCTGAGCAATTTTGGTCCACCTTGTCTGAAAACAGGATAGCTACTTAGATTAAATATGTCTCTTGTATGCAACATTCTGTCCTTTCTGTTTTGTTTTGTTTTTGATCCAGTCTGCCAATCTGTGTATTCTGATGGTGGAATTGAGACCCTTAGAATTATTACTGAAGGTAATGACTTATTCCTGTCGATTACTAGATTCTTTTTCTGTTACTGATTCCTTTATTTTCCCCTTTTGCTTAATTGCTCACCCTCCTTGTTTTATTTATTAGACTTTTTGGCATCATTGTCTTCATTGTCTCTCCCTAGGGTATCCTTGATTACTTGATTACATTTTCTCTGTCTAGACTATCCTTGATTACTGGTTTAGTAACAATGAATTTCTTTAGATGCTCTTTTGTCATAAACCTCCTTATTTCTCCATCTCTTTTGAAAAATAGGTTTCTAGGATATTTTAGTCTAGGTTGAAAGTTGTTTTGTTTTAGAGCTTGAAACACTTCATTCCCGGCTCTCATAGCCTTTAAGGTTTGTGTTTAGAAATTTGCAGTAATTCTAATGGGTTATAACTGATTTGTTGCTTTTTTCTATAGCTTTTGAGATTCTGCCCTTTTGTTGGACTTCTGGAATTTTGGCTATGATGTGTCATGGAGAAGTTCTTTTCTGCTTGTGGGTCTTTGAGGTCCTATGTACCTTACTTGCATGTATGTTGAATTCTTTCCTCATACTTGAAGAATTTTCTGCTATGATTTTTTTTTTATTTTAAAGGGAAAAACAATAACGGTATAATAATAATGCAGACAAAAACAAAACAATAAAAATAATACAGGATTTCAAAACAAGATGATAGAAATTAACAGTGATTGTTATATTACATATTGTTATCTTCAAGGAAGTTGCTCAGATTACCAGACGTTAAGAATACAAGATTGATCAAACAATTAAAGACAATAACAAGTAATTAAAAAAAAATTAGAAAAGATACAGAGCTTCACCAAACAAGATGGTAGGAATTCAGCAATGGTTGTTATATTGCATATTGTTGTCTTCAAATTAGTTGTTCCAGTTACTGGATATAAGCATGCAAAATTGGTCAGGAGAAAAAAAAAATTGAAGCATTAACTGTTCCTTTCAGTAAACCAATAAACATCAGCAATACATTTATCTCAGCTATCCTTGTATTTACAT